GATCTCATCTTCTGCAATAGTTTGAATTTAATTTATGGAATACAAACTAAAGAACCCTTTTCCAACAGTGACCACAATATGATTGACTTTTGTCTCAACATACACCCACACAAAAATAATCACAATGACATAATCCCCAATTATAACTTCAAAAAAGGCAACTATGATCTAATAAACAATGATCTCTCATCCCTTGATTGGCAAGCTCTATTCATTGGATGCAATACTGTTAAAGACCATTACAACATATTTTTACTTGAAGTCAAAAGAGTCATCAAACTATATGTACCAATAACAACTCCCCCCCCCCCAAAAAAAAACCAGATTGCTCATAACAATAAGGAAACTTCAATCCAAAAAGAGATCACTCTGGTGGAAAAACTAATCTGGTCATGTTGCCAATTTCAAGAGCGGATACAAAAATTTATGCCACCAGATAAAAACTGAATGCACCAATTATCACATTAAACAAGAAGAAAACCTTTTACACACCAATTCCATCCACGCTTTTTACAATTTTGTAAACAACAAACTAAAAGACACAAGGTCCATCCCAGCCCCAATAGGACCGAATGGTAAAGACTGCAATGACACCATTAAAGCCAACATCTTTAACACATTCTTTGGCTCAGTATTTGTAAACAACAATGGATCATGCCCCATATTTCCTAGCCGAACCACAAAAAACTACAATGATCTAATACATATCGATTTTACAGAAGACAATGTTGAAAAAGCACTACATAATCTAAAACCATCTCTATCTATTGGACCGGATGGAATATGTGCCTACTTCTTAAAGAAGCTATCCACTGCCATAGCAGAACCTCTAACCATAATCTTTGAAAAATCTGTCAGGACCAGCTCCTTGCCTAACCTATGGTCATAAGCCATAGTCATCCACATCTTCAAAAAGGGAGACCCCAGCCTAGTTGAAAATTACAGACCAATCTCCTTATGCTGCGTCACCTGTAAAGTCATGGAATCAATTATTAACCAATCCATTATTCTCCACTTACAAACAACCTACACCCTAATAAACAATTTGGTTCAGAAAAAAAACTATCCTGCAATCTGCAACTCTTACACTGCAAATCATATGGATTACACAACTCGATCAGGGCAAAACATAGATGCAATCTACATAGACTTCTGTAAAGCCTTTGATTCAGTGGTACACGACAAGCTACTCCTAAAACTAAAATCTTATGGTATATCTGGACAACTGCATAACTGGATAGAAGCATTCCTGTCAAACAGACAACAAATGGTCAAAATTGGGAGCATCCTATCAAATTCTGTACCTGTCAACAGTGGTGTCCCCCAAGGCAGTGTTCTAGGACTAACTCTCTTCATACTCTACATAAATGACCTCTGTGATCATATTAAGAGCAACTGCATTCTCTTTGCAGATGATGTAAAGATGTTCAATACCACAGACAATACTGCTACCCTTCAAAAAGATCTTGACTATGTATCATAATGGTCAAACAAATGGCAACTTCAAATCTCAACAAATAAATGCTTTGTCTTACATATTGGCAAAAAAAAATCAGAAAATAAAATACAAGCTGAATAGTCAAGACCTTGTTGATGATCCAAGCTCTGTAAAGGACCTTGGAATACTCATCTCTAATGATCTAAGTGCTAGTTAACCTAATCCTACGTAGTTTTTTCCCTGGTAATATCACACTAACTAGAGCATACAAAACATTTGCTAGACCAATACTCGAATACAGCTCATCAGTCTGGAACCTACTTTACGTATCTGATATTAGCACAGTTGAGAAAGTCCAGAAATATTTCACAAGAGTTCTCCACTCCCCTACTCATTGTAGAATACCTTATGCCACTAGACTTGAAATTCTAGACCTAGAAAACCTTGAATTACGCTGTCTTCGGTCTGATCTAAGTATGGTGTATAAAATCATACATTGCAATGACTTACCTGTCAATGAATACTTCAGCTTCAATCATAACAACACAAGAGCACGCAATAGATACAAACTCAAGGTTAACCGCACCAAACTTGATTGCAGGAAATACTTCAGCAACAGAGTGATCAATGTCTAGAATACTCTACGTGACTCTGTGGTTTCTTCCCCAAACCCCCCAAACTTTAACCTTAGTTAAACTTAGTCTACTTTTGACCTCAACCCTTTCCTAAGAAGTCTGTAGGGGTGTGTGCATAAGTGCACCAACATGGCTACTGTCCCTGTCCTATTGTTTCTTTTATTTTTCTTATACGTATCCACTTCATGTATTCATAACTATGTATACACTTATACCTATTATCTTGTAAGTGATTGACAAATCAAATAAAAATAAATGTTCCAGCTCATATAATCACAGAACTAGGAAAACCTTTTATAGCTTTAACAATATCATCAGTGTGATGTCTTTGTATCTTAATATCCACTGCTCTTTATTCCATGGTTAGTTTGTTTAGTTATATCTATGAACCTCAGAAGATACCATTTCAAATATTCTCCACCATTTGACTGGATTGGCATGACCTGTTGACAAAATCCAAGTTTTTCAACACTGAATTACCCCACTATTTATTCCTTGCATTTGAAGAAATAATCCCTTTTTAAGAATCCAAGCCTAGCTTCAGAAAAATGTAGAGAAGGCAATACTTTACATAATCACTATTTCAAAAGCTCAAAAGAATTGAATCCTTTAAAAAGTCATTAGAGTTATGTTGTTACAGAATCAAATCTCTACTGTTTTCCCAAAAATAAGACTCATTATTTTTTGAAACTGTCTGAAGGTAAGTAGTAGGACAGCTCCATTCCCCAATCCCCGCTGTAACTCAATTTTTATCCATGCATCCAGGAGTAGGTGGGGTCTTCAATAAAGCTTATTTTGGGAGTGGGACTTATATTGGGTGTACGATTAAAAACAAGCTAGGATTTACTTTTGGGGTAGATCATATTTTGGGGGAAACACAGTACAACCCAATCAATTAATCCTAGTCTGTGTCCATACACTCAATGCACAGTGGAGCATAGCCACAACTTTTGTAATTAAATAATAAAATTCCTAATCCTTTCTAAGTAGCACCTTCTAAATCTAGTTTTTGTGTGTGAATCTTTTCAGTGCTTCAAATGCAACCATTACAAGAACAAATTAATGAAGAGCCATGGTGGCACAGTGGTTAGAATGCAGTATTGCAGGATAACTCACTGCTCTCTGCAAGTTCAAACTTGAATGACTGAAGGTTGACTCAGCCTTCCATCCTTTCAAGGTCAGTAAAATGAGCACCCAATTGTTGGAGGCAATTTGCTGATTCTGTAAGCCATTTGGATAGGGCTATAAAGCATTATGAAGGAGTATATGAGTTTAAATGCTATTGCTAATAGTGTGTTCCTTTTAATAGGGTATCCTCCAGTAGTTATATAGTATTGAGGGGAAGGGGGGAGGAATCTGAATGACAAGCCATGTGGCAAGAGTCCTGGTTCAGCAGCTTCTAAAGGGGCAGATGTTTCAGAAGCTTATGTACAACTAATATGAGTGGTCTTCTCCCATTGCTGAAAGTGATGTCCAAGTCTTTTTCCTTCCCCTTGGTGAGAAATGCCTTTGGTGAGCTGCTTCTACTGGTAAAAGGAGCTGCTGTGATCTCCCATTACATGAGTCAACCCCTATCAAAGGATGGTACACAATGTACTCAAGTGCCATTCCCAGGAACCCGAGTTGTCTCAACTAAAAAATATTTCCCACACTGTTTATTGGCTATCTTTTTAATGTTTATAAAATGTTCATATAGAAACAAGGTGATGTGGAAATAGGAACACCCACCCACAAAAGTGGAGTTGGAGAGAAATACCTCCTTCAGACTAGAGGCTCAGTTGACTTCATTTTTTCTGTGTAACGCTGAAGTAAGAAATTTGCCACTGATGTTTTTGAAAAACGTAAACACTTTGGGTTTGTACATATTTTTCAGTGAGCATCTTGTCGAACCAAATCTTGTATTACACTAACTTGTTCGGAGTATCAAAATGCTGTGCTGGATTGAATTTGTGTATTTTTGTGTACATAACAGATGTCTACCCAGCAAAAACTTTATTATGTCATTCAGCATGTTACAGTATATATCTATGCTATCTCTGATTGCTACCTGCTGTTGTGCAGCCTATTTCAGTTTTTTCGATTTTCACAGGTAAGAGACAATTACCAAAAACTATTTTACTGCTTATGGCTGTTAAGTCAAAAATGTTCATTTTGCAGTTATTTGTTGTTGTTGTTGTTAGTTGCAAAGTCATGTCCCACCTATCACAACCCCATGGACAATATTTGCAGTTATACATCAGTTTACTGTCCTGGGAGTAGATGCAGTATTCCTGGGAATGTGGATTTTGGTTCAAAAAGTGGATTCGGATGAAAACAGTTAAGAAAAAAAACTCTGCAAAACCAAATATTTATAAGCTTTTTATAAGAAAACAATTTTAATATTTCAAGATTTTAATTGCATCCAGAAAAACTACCTTACACCACGTGTTAAATCATTATTTCAAACAGATAACAAATATTAGATTTAATCCAATTTAGGGAAATTCTTGAAGCCGTATAGTAGTTCAGTTGCAAAAAATACATATCAAAGACCACTGAGAACTGAAAAACTTTGCAAAGTGATTTTTATAACATAGCCATCCATTTGGCTGTACCATTTTTCCTAACCAACTAACCTAATTTAAATAGCTGGTTCTCCATATTTTTCAAAAAGGTGTTCTCTAAGCAATGAATTTGCTTAAAAGGCCACTTTTCCTTCAGACAGCAAACTTTTAAAGTGATCAATAGGGGTTCAATTTTAACTTTCTTTTAAAGATGCCCGATTAAGGCTTAATAAACTAAAATGAATACAACTTTATGCAGAGATGCATGAGTTCTGTTTCCTCAAGGGCTATATCAGTATCTGAATGGCACATGACAGTAAAATGGGCAAGGCCTTGAATCATTTTCTAGGGATCAACAGATAAGATTAGTGCTTTAAGCAAGTATAAAGTTTCAATCATAATTTTGTTACCTCAGCTCCCATTTCCCACAATGTATACCTTATAGAAAAAGTTGGTATAGGGTTTTCTTATGGGTTTAAGATGCTATCGAAATTGGATTATCTCATTTAACAGGATATTAAGGAAGATAAGTATATGACAATCAGACATAATTGATTAGAAGAAAAATTATCCTATGACACACATATTTGCCTTTATTCATGAACAAAGAGAGAGATAAAATGATAGTTAATGTGGTCTGCCTTACTTTTACCTCAAAAACTGTGCTTATCCATCCACCCCCAATCAAGCAGACAGAGGCAACTTGCTGGAAGGAACAGTACATTAGGTACAATTATATATGATATCAAACCATTTATTCTTAATTTCCAGAGAGGTAGTAGTTCCTGTATGTGTAACATCCCACCAAAAGATTAATTTTGTCCATTAATATAGGTAGTATCTAAGACAATTTTCAATTAACTATGGATTTGTTTTGTATATTCACTGGTTAGAATATGCAAAATTTGGTGTTTTGAAAGATCTTGCATCTCTTTTTTCCAGATAAAGCATAAAAAAGTTTTATTATTTCTATAATTCAAAGGGCTTCACTTTTTTGGATACACAATTTGAGTTTTCTTGGGGTAGAAAATGGGGATTTTGGAAAAAATGCCTATTCCTCAAATTAATCCAAAACTTCAAGTGGGTCAGAACAATTATCAGGGGAAAACTTAAGCAAATAATCTGGCTTTTTTATGGGATGGGTTTCTGCTGCATAAATCTTTATTACAATGTTAAAAACACTTTTCTACAATAAAATTTCATTCTGCCCTTACCTGCATTATAAAGAAACATGCCGATTTGCTGATCTATAATTTACTAAGCCAAAGATATGGAAATCAAGTGGCATTATGTAATGTGTAGTGCAATGCATTTGCAACACTTTCGAAGTTAATTTTAAATGCAATTTTTCATTAGAATATTCTCCATGGTTTTCTAAAAATGTAAAAACGGAAATATTATAAATGAAGTACATTCAAATAGGAACAGCAGTCTGCTTGTTGAAAAATCAACAATAGTTTGCAGCACCTAAAGTGTACAAAAAGTATAAACATTTGTCTATTTCCGCATTTACAGGAAATTGCACAGTATTTTAAATTGCTTAATTTAGATTATTAATTTTTAATAAGGGGGTGCCAGTATTGTATCTTATGGAAATGTGACCTTGCATTATGATTTACAAAATTCATCCATACATGAGAAAGATATTAGAGGGGGGGGAAGAATACTGTCGAATTTTTTTTTATTAATAATACAAGTTCTCTGAAACAAGCCAGCCACAGGCTGTTTGTTACAGCAAAACCTCAACAAAACAGCATATTCCTTACACAGACATATACATCCAAGAGATATTGTCCACATTTAAGGTTCAGAACCAAGAGCTGCAAATGCAGCAGCCATTTAATTCAAAGCTTTCAAACATCAAGGCTCAATAGTTTTGGGGTTATCGAGTCCAAATTACACTAGTAACACACAGAAACGTCTAAAACTTGACAGGGGAATTTACAATGTGACTCTGTGAACCAGAAAGCATTCTCCTACAGGTTTTCATGTGAACTTTGGGATGCAAAGTACCATTCCATGCCTTTCAGGGTTATAACTCCAATAGCTACTTATTGCAGTGATCATTTAAAAAGTGATCCCTTTCCTTCCCTTGTAATTCACGATCATCCAGGACAAGTTACAAGCTAAAAAAGGTGTTGCTTACAGCTAAAAAAAGATTGTACCATCATGCTATTAAACAGGTAAGAAAAGCAATTGCCAGTAAGAAATGCAAGGTTTACTTCTATCTGCTTGCATCATTTGAGAAGTATCTCAAACAATCCTGTGATTTGGGTTAGAGACCAGTCAGAGTACACAGTCAACATAAATGTTTTCACAATATTCCATGATAAAGTTATGAAAAATGAGAGTGCATGTTCCTAGCAAAATGGGATGCTATGTATATTGGTTTTTTTAAAAAAAAAAAACCAGAATGTTGCAATTTTGTCATGCTTATCACAGCATTTCTCCAGTGGAAAAGCTGCAGGATACATTTTCCCAGGAAAATGTTGCCTGCCATACTACACAAAAATGTGCAAACTGCAAGATCCCTAAAATAGCAGATATGAGTTTATGTACAGAGGATATTTCTACCTCTTAAATAAGTAAATAAGCCTAGTAAGAGTTTATAACACAGAACAGTAGCCACCACAGGCACCCCTATAGCCTTCTTCATTGTTCGATAATTTTACACCTCTGTTTTGGCTTTCACTTTCCCACAGTCCAGGAGTCTGAATTATTTTCTCAACAAGTTCTTCAAAAGCACATTGTACACCATCACATGTTTTTGCACTTGCCTCTAAAAGGAAAAGAAAGAAATTGTGGCATTGTTAAAAAAAAGACTTCAGAGTACATGTACATTATTGCAGCTTCTAGAACATGAAAGAGAGTCACCCTATAAACCTGTACCATTCAATAAAAAGCACAAGTATTGGAGCTATGTATATACTTTTTGGGGTATGCCTATGGAGGGTTTTTAAATATATTTTTGCCAACTTTGGAACTCAACAACCCTGATTTAGAAAGATGTGACACAACCATTTTAGTCTTTATTTTAAAAGGCAAGCAGAAGAATGAATGATTGAAAACCAGTAGCTTGCTGGTCAATTTCAATGACACAATTTAATTGGTTGTCAGACTTATACAAAAGGGCACAAGCAGTGCATAAAAGCTGCAGATTATACATCTCTATTTGTTTGATAGAGATGAGACTATATATGAAAAGTCAATTTTATAAAAATAAGTGAAGTATTTTAGTTACTTCTATAGTTATCACTGTTTCTGTTTTCAATAGCCATGGATTAATTTGCTATGTTGCTGAAGATTTAGAAAATAGATATTCAGGTTAAACTACTTGGCTTCATTGGAAGCAATTTCATATTATCACTCCAATTAATATGTACTGCAGAAGAAAATATTTGAGGACAAGCTAAAAGGCAAGTTTCTTCCTTAGTAATGCCTTCCAGTCTTTTCCTGAATATCTGTGAAACTCCTTTATGCTTGCAAGACACTTGAAAAGAAATAAGATTCTGCCCTGGAGAGTTTAATTTAAAACTTAAAGAGAATTCTAAATTTGTATCAGTGAAATTAAAAGTCAAGAAACTGCAGGCAAGTGAAACCACAAGCAAAAATGCTTTCAGTAGAATGTATTTAGATTTTATTCTAATTCATGAGAGCCCATTTCCAGAAAACACTCATAAATTAGGCAGACAAACAAAAAGTTCAAATGTTTGCTGTAGAAAAAGGTCATAAAAGTCATGGAACCATTAATACTTCAATGACTGAAACTTTCTGTTATTTCACTGGGATTACCTTTTATTACTTTAGAACTAAGCATGATCAGAGCTGAACACAGCATGAAACCAGAAGACTGCTATAGGTATAGGTAGTCTTCAGCTTACAACAGTTCATTTAGGACTGCTGAAAATTGCAATGGCACTGAAAAAAGTTACGATCATTTTTCATTTATGACCACTGCAGCATTCCCATGGTCATGTGATCAAAGTTCAGACACTTGGCAACTGACTCATATTTATGTCCATTGTAGTGTCCCAGGGTTATGTAATCCTTTTGTGAACTTCTGACAAGCAAAGTCAATGGGAAAACCAGTTTCATTTAACAATCAGGTTACTAACTTATCAACTGCAATGATTAATTTAACAACTGTGGCAAGAAATGTCAAAAAACGGGGCAGAACTCTCTTAACAAATGTCTCAACAATAGAAATTTTGGGCTCAATTGTGGTTGTAAGTTGAGGACTATCTGTACTTCTCAACTTATGACCAACCATTTGGAGTTGCAACAGGCCTAGCTGAGGGTTACTTATGACCTGGATTTGAAGTTCTAGTGGTTGAAATGCTGTCAGAGTGAAATGACCGAACTTTGGACATTCGACAACGTGGTCACATTTGCAGCATTTTGCAATCATGTGACCAATTTTTATGATGGTTTTGCTAAAAACCATTTGGCAAAACCAAGCCACTGATTCACTGGGGCGTTTCACTAGAACCCACAATCATAGTGGCTGCTTTATGATCTCTGCATTCACTTAATGGCTACTGCAAAAAAAAAAAATGTAAAATCAGGTTGGTCATGTGACTGACCCCTTTTACAACCATACGACTTTCAGCCATACTAGGCAGGTTCCACTGCCATCATAAATTGAGGATTACCTGTACTGTTATCACTATTTGAAGCATTTTTCTACAAATATGCACTGCAGGATACCTTTGCAAGAGCTATCAACTTTAGCCAAAAATTTCCCCACAGCAAGTCATGATTAAAGAAGCTTTATACTCTTCTACCATGCTTTATCATTTAATACTTTTATTTTCCATCCAATTTCAACCGTATCAAAATTATACATCTCATTTAGTCAGGCTGTAACCAACGTGGTCTAATGTCCTTTGGGATAGAAACAGATTACTTATTGTTTTGTCAGAAGAAAGGAGAAAGTCTGTGTCTAGAAGAGACAGCAGGATAATGCATTCTGCTGTAACGGTATTGAAACTATATCTGGATGTTTTCTGAATACCTTGGGGCTTATATCTGTTTCATCTATTAATTTACATAGTTCAATCTATGTTATTGCTGCTATTATATCATTTTTTGTACAAAACTATAATAAAATATCAACCATGATAGCAGCATCAGAACTGGACTCTGATGACAAATTACTTTATCATAGTTGATTTCAGTTGCTCACCTATAAATAACATGGAATGTTTTCGGGCAAACTTAAGACCTTCATTTCTGTCAACTTCTCTGTTTTCCTATAAAAAGAAATAAAAAAATTAAATCTGTGTGTATGTGTGTGTGTGTGTGTGTGTGTGTGTGTGTGTGTGTATGTACGCCACCAATAATTTTTAAATCAACTTACCTTATCTATTTTGTTTCCAACTAGCATATTAACTATGTCGTATCTTGTGCAGTATGTTTCTAATTCAGTTAACCAATTGTCTAGTTTAGTAAATGTGTCTCTTCTTGTGACATCATAAACTGAAATAAAAATTTGCATGGTTATTATCATAACAAGTCTGTGAACATTAAGTCAATCATTTTCAAATTCAAACTACAACATTATTTTATTACAGTATCGACATCTAGATAACTGTTACTCAAAGCTGTATAAATCTAACTAAGCAGTTATACTAAAGGGTTTTATCTGATATTAAACTCAAAACTCTACTAAATCAGTTTTGTTATGAATTTAAATTGCAAATCTAAGCTCCTATGAACTGCCAGATCTCAATGACGAAAGATAACAACCAATATTGGATAGCCTATGAAGCCATATGTAGATATTATCTTACATAAGTACACTTGTTGCTTATAGATTCCATCCCTATTTCATTATTACATTTTTACAATATCAGCAAATCTGAACAAAGTAAATCAAGAAGTTAGAAAATGAAAGATTGCTAATTCTTTTACAATAACTTTTTATACCAAGCTAATATTTTCTTCCCAAAAAAACTATTCCTAGAGGAACACAAATCCCCCCAATATCAATTCTGAAGAAACTATGATACAGATGGCATGAAATTCAAGCAATGCCTTTCTTACTACATAAAAAATCTATACAGTATGTAGCTTCAGATTAAACATATAGCAACCAGGCATGTAATTATTTCATCATCCTTCTGGCGATTTGCCAGTTCCACTTCATCCTTTTTAGATATGCAAATTAGAAAAGAATTCTCAGCAAGGAATTTGCTGAGAAGAAAATAATACCATCCACCTCAAACTGAAACCAACAGCAGCTACTTTGTTGTTAAAAAGGAAAAGCCTTTCTTCAGTCTGCAAGAAAGAACCACCTCAGAATAAAGGCAAAGAGCAGAATCAGGAACAATGCATTGTGAAGTAATCCTTAACAACTGGCATCATAGCAACTGTTCAATTGTTGAGGACTTCCCAAAAGCAACTTACAACCCAATTCCAGAATTCCAACACTCTCCACACACACACACACACAAACAGGAGTGCAAGGCAGAGGTGGGAGAGTTAAATGATCATATTTTGGGCATTTGGCAGCCGGCTCACATTTAGACAGCCGTTTATAGCATCCCATGGTCATACACTAGTTTTTGGTGGTTTTTGCCAAATCCAGTTTTTACTTCCAGTTTGCTGCAAAAAATATCAATTAAAAGAAAATAGGTTTCCCCTAACGATTGCCACAAAAAAACAAAATCAGTGTGATGACCTACATATGATTAATTCTGACCTCAAATATAGACATAAGCCAAAGACTATAAATATCACCTTCTAGCAATTCCCATAGGACTGTTTTACTATTCTTAATAACTTTATTTAACTTCATAACTTGACAGTGCTAAGAACTAAATATCATAAAATTGACAAGATACCCTGGTAGAATTTCATCAAGGCAAAAGAGTTAAAAACTTAAGTCTTAATACAAATTAGAGTGTTTTTAGATAAACAGTGAATAGTCACATGTTTACCCAATATAACTCCTTGTGCTCCTCTGTAATAGCTGGGTGTTAATGTTCTGAATCGCTCTTGTCCTGCAGTGTCCTAAAAAAATTCAGAAAGATTTCAAAAAAAATTCAGAAAAATTCACCTCCTTAAAAAAGCAGTTGTTCATATAACATTTGAACTACGAACTAATCAAGCACATGTTAATCTGAGAATCCATCTTGTATCATAAACTCATAACACTCGTTATGACTTTATTCAACCAGTTTCTCTATGGCTCTTCAAGAGCAATTTCCCACCGTTTCATAAATAATCGAAACAGATGGTAACCGTACTTGGTTCACCAATGCTAAGTTCTATGTGTGGAAGAAGAGTTATCCGAGCAAACAAGTTTTGGAAAAAAGTCAGTCCATGCCATAGAGGTCATATCAACTTCTAATAATAGATCTACAAATCTGCCAAATTATTAAGATAATCCTTTAGGGTAGAAGTCTCAGATTTGCGACCCATGGGCCATGTGCATCTTCAAGATAAAGTTCTGTAGCTGGAGCCACAATGCAGCAAGAGAGTGATATGTGGTAATAAGCCAGCAGATTGCTGACCATGGCTAGGCAGTACAGACTGCCTGATTAAAAGGGAAGAAGGAAGTGAAACTCTGAACCTGGAGGGTGAGTGATGTGTGGTAGCTGCACATCTAATTCCTCGTCCAACTGTTGTCAGAGTCCAGGTTAGGGCTGGTCAGCTTCCAAGCAGAGAAAGATGCTGCTAGCAAGGATCTGCTCTGGCTGAAGCAAGCATCCCTACTTGCCTTTAAATTTTCCTCCCCAGCAACCTCATCTATTTCAGGCAGACAGGAGGACATAAAGCAAACCCCTTTACGCTCCGTTGCTACTAGTTGGGTGGAAAGAGAATGGCCATTATACAAAAGGAGCACAAAAGTTGGCAGCAATAGCAATGATAGCATTTTTCAGCATATGCTGGGAAACTAGGCTAGGAAAGGATTTCACCTCTCAATGTGAAAGAGGGTGCAACACGTTCCTACCCAAACTTAAGGAACAAAAAGGCAGTCTTGGGGTGGCCTTTGCCAACCCAAGCTCTGACACGTGGGCTGAAGTAAAGCTGCTGCTGCATTCTCTACTGAACTCTCTCTTCAGGGTGCTTCCTTGCCCTCTTCCTGTAACAGCTGTGCCACATGGCATCTCCTGACAAAATAGTGGCCTATCCTGTTCCTAGCATTAAACTAATCCCATATACATATTTCACAGCAGTGCTAAGTTTCTGCCTATTTTCGATAGCCCTGTTAAATAGATGAGGCTTATGGTCAAATCTTAAATATGATTCAATCTGTCCTTCTAACAACCTCTGTTTTCCTATGAATTAATTAGAAAGCACCAAATGGCCAATATTCTTTTTTTCTGTGTAATATGAGACTTTTAAAATCTACTTTCCTCGCTCTATCATTATTACATGGATATGGAAGAATAGAAAGTATCCCAATAAGAACATGAAAGGATGTATTTTGAATTATTCACATGACAGTATTCCTTGCAATTACATTCAAATTTTGAAAAGCAATATAACTACAAGTACCCAAACCCAGGGCTGGGATGCTACTGGTTCTGCCCGGTTCTAAATGGTAGCTCTGAAGAGCAGCAGATACCGAACCGCTCTTAGCTGTCCATTATTTCCTGCTTTTTCAACCTTAGCTGCTTTGCACGGCACAGCTGAGATTGAAAAAAACAGGGAAAAAGAGGCTTTTCGAACACTGTGCACCTGAGCACAGCACTTTTCAGCTGTCTGGGCGGCACAGCTTAAGGTTTTTTTACACGCATGTACAGTGTACGTCAGGCGCACGTGTGCGCAAAGCACGCATCTGTGCACAAAACGTAATCACCAAACTGGTAGTAACACCAGTTGAATCCCACCCCTGCCCAAACCTTCTAAAGATTTAAGTCTTTCTGCTTTGTTTAAACCATAACTAAACATCATACCTATTCACCAGTATTTTGAAATCTCACTTTACCAAAATAAGATAGGCTATTACTTATAAGTATTGCTATTAACTGACAACACATTCAATAATGTTGACATAAGCTAATAGAGTTTTATATTTTGTGATTAAGACTTACCCAGATTGCAAGTTTAGCCTTATTTCCATCAACTGAGATTGTTTTCACTTTGAAGTCAACACCTAAAACACAAGAACACAATGTTGTAATGCACCACTTCTTAAAGTGATCACATGTTCTTATTACTCTGTTATTGTGGAATAATTTGGAAGAACGTGGACTAGAGTTTCAGTGGTACTTTAACACATAATACAAATGACACTCTACTAAACACATCTTCTCACAACACAGGGCGCATGAGGAAGGCAAGTAACATGAAATACAATCTATGGTTTGTAGGATTCATGCAGTTTCTAACTTCTGCTGCTTTTAATTTTTTTTATATTTTGCAAGAAGCTGCTTGATGAATGAACTTATGGCTCAGGTATGAAATGACCAACTCTGTAGCTGCATAATTCATTCATTAAAAAATAACTAAGTGAAGCCCACTCATTTTATGAACTCTGCAAAAATTATTGAGAACATAAAACCAGTACAATTATAGGGGGCTAAACAGCCCTTTATACACCATTTGTCTCATGCAAAATATAGCCCTGCATTAGCAGTATGTCTTTTTGTAAACGTGTATTGCTTACTATGAATGGTCAGGGGTGCATGTTAATCACTTTTACCAGAGGCATTATGGTGTAATGTAACAGAACATTAGTACATATAAAACTGGGGGGGGGGGGGGGAGGATGTCAATATCCAAAACCCCTCTCCCCTTAATATTTGGATTCATCACTCCATCTTTCCCGAACTTGTAGCATTCTGATGCCAAAGCCTCCACAAACACAAATCTTTTCCTACCCGCCCCCCCCTTATGGGTAACTCTTTCCACCGTTACTCCCTGGGCTAATCCATCCATGGATCTCCTGCATCTGGCCTGAGATACAGCCCTCTGGGTCAGTGTACCTGCAAGGAAAGCCTTGGGGCCACTGATGGAGAGGCCCCAGCAGCTTTTTCTCCAAGGCCCCCGCTTCAGCTTGCACTTTGCTTGCCTCCCTGTGGCATGTGTACATACAATCCCTATTCCTGGCAGGGTTCTGCAAGCTAACCCAGTGTTAGAGGTGGTAAACTTTTTGTTTGATCTCTAGTTTTTTAAAAATAAATCAAGATCTCTCAGAAAATTCCTAGTGATCTTTCATGGCACTCTTGGATGTTTAAAGCCATAGGAAAAATAAATTATATGTCCTGGAGTCGTGATTACTTTATCCATTCTTTGTCATCCAGATCTCTCTTCTAAAAGCTACATCACCCTCCTCTGCCATGGGATTTTGATGAAACTCCTTCACCAACTGGTGACTTACATCACTCTCCTACCACTTTCTAAGCTTAAATATTGCAGACTTTTGGGACCCACCTTGTTTCTGTTATCTTTTAACCCTTAATTTATTTTATGTTGTTTCACTTGGCTCCTTTTTATTGAAGTATATTTTATAAATTTATATTTTTATGCTTTTAACAGTACACCACCCAGAGTCATTTTGAGCTAAATGGGCAGGGATAAATGTGATAAACAACTCCACTCAAAATGTTAAATTTACTATTAGCTCTGTATTTTTAAGTGATATTCAAGTAAATTTTAAGGGGTCTGTTACATTGATTCAGAAATATTTACGTGAATACTTAAAAATGTAGAAAACTTAAATTGACTTTACAAAAAATGTTTTTCCTGATTAATACCACTTTAGATGCTCTTTAAGATTACAGTGCTCCTTTACCCAATTAATCTAATTACAGTGGCAAACCCACTACTATGTTTCTCCAACAATATGGCCTCCACCAATAGGAAGGCCCAGCATGATTTCTAGGCATGAGGTGAAATTAAGCCCTGCCCCCCAAATTTAGGCCTATTTAAACCATGCGTTTCCCCACCATTTCTCACATCATTCGTTAAAACTACACGAGGTGAAGAGAAATGGGGGGGAAGAGCGGAGGGAATGGGAAGAAAACTTGCCTTTAGGAGTGGCCTGCAGGTAGCCTAGACTAGGATACCCTGATAGCCGAAAGAAGCTCCCTTGAAGGCAGAGTCCCCAGACGCTTCAGGGCGTGGCAGGGCTACCCGTGTCCCCTCGCCTTTAGGCAATCTCTTTCGGGCGATGGAAGCTCCCCAAATGCAGTCACCAGCCACTTCGATCGGCCGGTAGAAGCGGCCTCAGGGCGAGCACAAACACACACACACTCCCCTCGTCACGAGGCTGCTTTTATCGGCAGACGAAAGCTCCCTTGAAGGCAGAGTCCCCAGCCACTTCAGGGCGAGGTGAGCCTATGCATCAGGTTCCCATGCAGTTGGTAAGTTACAAAAGGGTTGTTTATCATTAAGATCTGTTTTGTGATCAAAGGCAATGTGAAATGAGGGCAGGGAGGGAAGAAGTAGCAGCTTGTGTTTAACCGAGTTTCTGAACCTGAAGGTCCCTGCTCTTCCACCACCTCTCATTTGTTGGTGCAATCTACCTGGGGGGGGGGGGTTGTCCCAAGACCCTTTGAGTTTATTCATTCATTTACGTTTCCCCAAGGGGCTTTTTTTGGGGGGGGGGGGGAGGGTTTCTTCCCTGCAATGCAGCCATAATCTCTCCCAGGCCCAGCAAGACGCTGTCCTCCCCACTGGAGGGAGGTGGGGGTTCAGGGAAGTGTCCTGTTAATCATTAAAGCAATCTGAAAGACCACCCTTTGGGGCCACTAGGATGATCTTCACCCAGCTCAGGCAAAAAGACCAGGAGCCCGTCCACTCTGCCCCCTCCCTGCCCATCCCAGTGCCTGCTCTGCTCAAGTCAGAGATGGGGAGGAGGAAACAAGCCTTGGATTCCCAGAGCGCACCTGGTAGGGGGCTTGTCTAGGATGGAAACTAAACAGGGTTGGAGCTGGGATGGAGTCACCAGGAGAGGATTTCCAGGGCTGCAGAGAGAAGTTTAAAAGAGTGGGACAGGAGAAGACAAAAGCTTCTTTAGCAACCCTCCTGCGATCCAAATGGTTGCAGTGGGAAATCAAGGTCGGGGGGGGGGGGGGAGGGCTATCTGAAGGGATGAAGAAGAGCGGCTGGCTCAGGAAGCAGAAATGCAGCGGGAATCTTGGGGTCGTCTGATATTTATTCTGACAACAGCGTATGTACATTGCATTGAGCTCGCAATTGCACTGAGTTTGCAGTTGCATTGAGTTTACAGTTGCATTGAGTTTGCAGTTGGGAACCTGATGCATAAGCACGCCTCGCTCTGAGGCAGCTGGGGACTCTGCCTTCAAGGGAGCTTTCATCTGCCGATAGAAGCGGCCTCACGGCGAGGAGAGTGTGTGTGTGCGGTCGCCCTGAGACCGCTTCTACCGGCCGATCGAAGTGGCTGGTGACTGCATTTGGGGAGCTTCCACTGCCCGAAAGAGACTGCTTAAAGGCGAGGGGACATGGGCACCCACGTCTCGCCCTGAAGCGGCTAGGAACTCTGCCTTCAAGGGAGCTTTCGTCTGCCGATAAAAGCGGCCTCGCGGCGAGGGGAGTGTGTGTGTGCGGTCGCCCCGAGACTGCTTCTACCGGCCGATCGAAGTGGCTGGTGACTGCACTTGGGGAGATTCCATCGCCCAAAAGAGACTGCCTAAAGGCGAGGGGACATGGGCACCCATGTCTTGCCCTGGAGCAGCTGGGGACTCTGCCTTTGGGGAGCTTTCATCAGCCGATAGAAATGGCCTCATGGAGAGGTACGTGCGTATGGGCTCCTCTAGGTGGAGGAGGAAATTAAGTCACCCCTGAAAAGACAGCCTAGCCATTTTTTTAGGGGTCCAAAAAAAAAAAAAAAAAGGCCCGGACTTATTCTGTGAGAAACATGGTAGGAAAAAATACTTCAGGATATAATAACTATCTTCCTGATCTGAATCTGATTTCCTCTTCCTGCTTTTGCAGTTATTAGGACTTCATTATACATATATTTGCATATAAAATAGCTGCAACATAATTTGGAACCATGTATTGAATTATATACATGAATTATAAGATTTGAAAAGGTTCCAAACTATTCTAAAATCAATAGTACAAATTTCATTTGTTAACTGTTAAATATTAATCATATTAGAGCTTTAATAAAGAAACATTTTTAAGGGGGCTGTCATGCCCCTGGTGGAGACTGACTCTGAGGAAGAGGAGGAACAGCCAACAGAGAGTGGGAGTGTGACTCCAGAGGTGCTGGAGGAGGCTGGGGAAGAGCAGAGGCCGGCTGAGCAGTCAGAGGAGGATCCCGGCCCATCCCCTATCCATCCTAGGGCACGCAGAAAGGATAGGATCAGGGAAAAGCAAGGTCTACTCAGATTACCATGATCCTCCTCTTGGCTTGCAGCTGGGAGCTATGTATATAAGTTTGTAACTGTATAGTCAGAATTGCTGGAGTCAAAGTTTAGTGTTTCCTTTGAAAGAGGTTTATCTTTGTTGGCATTCTTCCCATGGACTCTCCCTGTTATCTTCCTGGAATGTATGATTAATTATCTTGGCTTGCTTTGGAACTATCATCAATGCAGTTTGTTTTGGTTTCCTTTTGCCTCATTATTTACTTTAATGACTTTAAACTGTGCCTTCACTTTAAAACGGTGAAGTTAAGTTGAAAGCATTCCCGGACTTTAATGTATGCTTTGGGTTTGGGGTTATTTTGAGAGACTACGTGTCATCACATTTTGAATCCAGCCACCCCTTCAACTTATTTTTGTTTTTTTGTGGGGTGACCATGGATCAGCTCAGAGCAGAGATTGCCCAGTTAAGCCAGCAAGTGGAGTCTTTTGACTGCACAGGTGGCACAAATGCAAGCTGCCCAGGCACGCCGAAAATGCCCAGTGGCAGTGCCAGATAAATTTGATGATTTACTGGTCCAATTTCCAGCATTTTCTGGGCAGTGCCAGCTTTACATGAGCCTTCGGCTGAGGACTTTCCTGTTAGGTATAACATAGGTCACCTAACGTAGTTTGGGTAAAATAATATATATAAGCTATGATTGTTAATTTAAGTGTGTGTCACTTTAAATGCAAAGCATGTAATTTTGGGTGTGGTGTGAAACCACCATAAGAGGTAGCAAGAGGACCTGATTGATTGCTGACGATTCCCTGGCAATTA